CGTTTGGCTAAGGTTTAATCATTCAGGGGAACCTAACAGACAACGCTCATTTCAGTCCAATCGTTTGTTTTGCTATATCTCTAGTGTGCATCAGTTTGTGGACCATTGCTTCTGATTGCTCTGTTCCGTTATGGATCTTACTGTGTTTCCCTTGTTCCTCCATGATCGAATCGTTTGCGGAACCTTTTGTGGTGTATTCCATCAGGTTCGAACCAAACTTGTTCTTAGATGCATACGTATCATCAGATTTTCGATTGGTAACCATTTTGCTGTTTCTCAAGCTCTGCTAGTGATCTTGAAGAGGCTTGTAGCTTTCGGTCTCATAACTTTGACAGAAACAAACGCCTATCACTTGGATATTTTGGCTATATCACAGGTTTTCAATTCCGAAATAGTGATCAGTTCAACCTTTCGCAGATCCTAGCGTCACTGTTGTATCTCTTCTTCAACGTGTCCAAATTCTATTATTATACCAAGCAGAATCTTCCGGAGCTGGCTCAGTTTCAAAGTTTTAGAAGTTTCTTCCCAACACCAAAGTATGACCTTTCTTCATCTACTTTCTCAATTTAATCTATTCAGGGATGGCTTAAACGGCGAATTTTGTTCTCGGATCATAAATGAGTACCCAAAAGTACTATCTCATTTTTTAATTTCGAATGGAAGCAATTTTGTGATGACATTCACCAATTTTGTGAGCTTGGAAGAGATCGGTATTCACAACTGGTGATTGTTATTTGAAAGAACTCCCACTTATTAAAGGATTATATGACGTGGTGGAGAGGTTAGGAGGTTTCTTCTGTCGAATCCTTTTCGCTCCCCTCGAAGATATCTGTTATGGCTGGACCCAAAAAAAGGTGTGTTAGAAAAGAGATTCAATTGTTAACATGCTCTGACAGGAGGGGAAAATTTCAAAAAATCTGTCGCAAATGTTGCCAGCCATTATACGGCTCAGTATTTACTTCGGGGTTGTAGCAGGTAGTCTAGGATTGTTGTTATCCAAATTACTACTCTCAGCTTCACGATTGGATTTTACAACTCACGGTGCCTACAAGATCTCATTAATTTCGCAAAGTCTTAAAACCATGTTTAGAATCACTAATATTATCATTCTACTCTCTCTTCATTGCTACTACGGCCGTTTCTACCACTCTGGATTATGCAACGAAGTATTCAACTGCAGATAAAGTAAGTCAAGTCTCATAATTATATAAAATCATATATCAGAATCCAAACTTCAATATGATGATCATCATAATTCATGTAGCATTAAATGTGATTTTGTGTTATAAGTTTCATGCTGCTGGATTCATCTTAGCAAACTCAGTTAACATGATTATCCGAATTTGCTACAGGTAGAGGAACCGTCCATGTTTAGTTTCGGAATTC